TTCCCAATGTTGAATGGCTAACAGCAGAAAAGTTGTGAGGCTTGTGATAGCTTGACAATCTCAACACTTCTTTCCAATATAGCAAAGAAACAAAGCTTTTGCCAAGTATTTAACAATATAAGACATTTCTTAAGGATAATAACAGAGGCTTCAGGGTGTGAGTTGATGCATTTCTACCAGAATTTCACCTTCAAAATCGAGTGATCTTGAAATTTTTAAATAGCTTTGTAGTCTAGATCTGTGGTCCAGGATAAGTCAAAGCTTACTCAAAGAGGTAAAAAAGGGAGCGACAAAAAAGAAAGATTTTAATTGATAATTGGAGCCGGAAGATAATAAAAAAGGCTTGTCAAGCACTGATCAAATTATGAGTGCACAATAAGGAGTGTGGGGACTGTAAAACCTGCTTATGAAGGCGTTCTCTTTCAAGAGCCAACTGCACAACTAAATCTGATATAAATTTGGTGCGAACACCAATGTCCTTTGCAGTTTCCTTTTTTGCTTCCTCAGCCTGATGTAAAGATGCCTCCAAGTCTTCTGTTCTACTCATTAGAAATTTTATTCTTTCGCTGAGATCGGCATTTGACTCTGACAATATGATACATTTTTCTTCAGCACTCTCAGTGTGACGTTCAGCTTTTGACACCTTCGATTTCAGACTTTCTATTAAATTTTCCATATCCTTGATTGTGCAATCTAACATGCTTTGCTTCTCCTGACTAGCTTCAACAAATGCCACAGCATGCTGTCGCTTAATTTCGGAGTCCTTCAACTTCCTCTCAAGCTCTTCCACTCTCTCCTCTGAAATAGTAATGCTACTCTTAAGGATACAAAGATCTTTATTAAGCTCCACATTAGACTCTCTAAGCAATTTACACTCAGCTTCGGCACTTGCAGACCTCTGTTCTGCATCATAAGCTTTTACCTTCCATTTGTTAACTATATTTTCATTTTCAAGAATCTTAGAGGATAACTCTCCGTTTTTGACGCTACAATTGTTCACTGTATTCAAGTGAGACTCAAAATCTTTCAGTTTCTGTTCGAGTGAAGTCACCTTTTCCAACAGTTCACTCCTGATGCTCTCTGAGTTCTGCAAAGCATGGTCTTTATCTTTCAACAGTTCATTTAGATCTTGAAATTTAGATCTCAACTCCTCTTCTCTCTGGATTGAACCATTAAGATTAAACTGTAAAATCTGGACTCTTCCCAGTAAATCTTTCGAAATCTCAGACAGGATTTCAGCAGCATTTTCTGCCTCAAACAATCTTTCCGAGGTAGCTTCAACTTCTTCTTCTATGCAGTAAACTTCTTGTTGCAGCTTAATATTTAAATTTTCTTCAATTTGTGTACACTCACTGAGCTTCTTCTCAAGATCTAATTCTCTGGCCAAAGACTTCTCAAGCATCTGCAAAATTTTCCTCTGCTCTTCCACGGTCTTCATTTTTATCTTTGTATTTTTGCGTAAAAGATCACCATTCTCAAAACTCACCACCTCTTTATTGTCCTTCCCTGTCGAGATGTTTAATCATTATTAGATGAAGTAAAGAAGAATTATTTTATTTTAAGCTGAAGATAGGAAAGTCAGATTTACTGTCAAGTATTTGCAGCAGTAACTAAATGACAAAACAACAATACAGCATTTCCCCCAAATCCACTCACCAAAAAATAGGGAACAAAGGTGTACTTATTTGCTTCCATTTTGACAAAAGGGAGTTGCAGATAGTAAGAAAGGAAAGGGGTGTTTGAAGCAATAAATTATCTGAATCCACTCAATTATATGTTTCCATTCCAATTGTCCATGGAACCCAACTCTGCATGGGATCTCAATCTAGCACTTAAAAAATTATGTAAAACTGCGCAGCACCCAATATACAGTGATATTTCATAAATAAAAATAAATTTATGCAATAAACTCACAGTTTTCATCGCTGGCAGAGGTCAACGAGATCCTTTTGAAGCTGGAAGATTGTAACTGTATTGCTGTGACCCGCTCAAAACACTGCTTCAAGTATTCCTCACAATCATAAAACTTTTCTTCCATTCCCTTAAAAGCTTCATCAAACTGCTCAAATGAAGATATAACCCCTTGGGAACTTAGAATCTCCTTCTGAAGAGAGGATAGAAAATTACTCAGCTCTTTGACCTCAGAGTCCAGAATCTCAGATAAAAGATCGAATTCAAGTGCCTTTTCATCAGAACCTGCAGGCGTATATTTTTCATCCGAAACAAAAGCCTCGAAATCATCTTCCCTTGCTTCGACATACATAACAAGTAAGGCTAAGTTAACCAACTTTTCTGAGGAACGTGCTAAATCTAGTTCGAGCGTCGTCAAAATCTCTGCAGCATTTCTTATCTGTTGGGTAATATCTTCACTAGACGAGATAACTTCAAGTGAATCAATGTTATTTGATTCTGACTCCATTTCACCAGTGTTAGCAATTTCAATAGAAGTAGATCCATCTTTAACTGTATCAGTATCGACCCCCATTTTAAGTATTCCACTCAGCTCAATTTAAGCCTAAAATTACAATAAATGTATACCTCAATCAACCAATATCAAAGTTCATTCTTTCCAAAAAAATCGATTATAAAACATTCTAAGAATGGATCATTAATAGGTACTTCTTCAATTAGAGTAAGCAATGACCATGCGGTTAAAAAACCTATAAATCGTGCAATATCTGTCAACTCCTCACATTTACTGCACCGTAGATAGCCATAGAAAGATGGTATGCTAAAATAGGTGTCTGTGCATCATGTAAAAGTGAGAGAAAGGAGAACACTAAACGAGATTCATAAAATATTCAGTAGTAAAAATCCACATACAAAAATGAATAAACTAAAAATGTTATTTGCCCATCACTCATGGTTTCAGCTTTTTTGACATCTCTTTTATTTTTCATCCCAAACCCCAAAATATTTCCACCTCTGTGCCTGCAGTTTACCTATTCATTCTTTGAAACTTTCTACGCTATGACTCTATGCAGAATCTATCATAAGCCCTAAGAGAGAAAAAGAACACTACAAATTTTCAAAGCAACCGGAAGCTCAATTGCCATACATTTGTCTTCTTCCATAACACCACAAATATAAGAACATCACACTTTTGAAAAGCTATCAAATCCAACCATATTATAGTACCATTAGACAGCAACACTTATCAGCTCAAACCCACTTATGGAATCTTATAACCAGCGCTCCTGTTCACGGTAACCCTTTTAGGGAAAAGTTCATCAAACAATACACTCACATCTTATATGTGCGCATGCATACACAACCAAAACATGATAAAACATCAGGATTATTGTTCTTTTTTACATAAATTATCCCATAATTTTCCATTTTGATAGTAAAAATATGAAAATGCCAAATTCAGAATAAAAAAAATAAATTAATGGAAAATGGAAAACGTTAGCGGATCATAATTTTTAGAAAATCACATACAGACAAGAAAAATATATAATTAAACATGAATTGAATTAGCAACATATAGATAGAGAAAAACGCTGGAACAAAGGAGTTTACATGTACATAAAACATACCTTTCAGAAATTTCGCGGGTTCCAGAGAGACGGGGGGATTCGATCTTCCAAATTAGCTTATACAAACAAATAATTTTAGAGAGTCGACTGATTTACCGTAAGAATAAATAAAAATAAAAAAATGTTTTTTTCACAGAATAGACCTGGGTCAGTGACTCGGTGACTCAGCGATCTTTTAGTTTGTGCTATTCACGTGTCATCACTCGAGTGTGTGGTCAAAATTTTAAAAATAATTTTTTTAATAAACAACATAATATCAATAAAAATTAGTTAATATGTATTTTGACACTTTGAACACGTTGTATAATTATATCATTATTAATATTATTAAATAAATTTTGCTACTGGTATATTTTTGTTTATCATTTCGTTGGCAAATGCTAAGTTAACTTTGAGTAAATTAAATTGAATATAGAAATTAAATGAATTGAAATAAAATTCAAGTTTCGTTCAGGAAGTAAATGAAATTCAAATTTAAAGCAAAAGTAATTCAAATTGCATTTAATTCATAACGATCCTAAAAAATTTACGTCATATTTCATGTAAAACTTCTGAATGAAACGATATAAATTATATTGAAAATTTTATCGTGCAAAAATAATAATTAATTGAATTAAAAAAAAAGAGTTAGACATCTTTTTTGAGGCGTATGTTTGATACATATTTAACTATTTTCGATATCCGTTTGGACCATTCGATATGAAAACGATTAGCTTTCGAAACAAACTTTTACATGACATAGACGATTTGTGGATTCAGATAGCACATGATTGCAAACGAATTTTTAAAGTTAGGATATTATCGAAATTCTCAAAATATTAGTTTCAAACGGTCTACTTTAATATGTCATAACTTTTGCTATAATTGACCACTTCGCATGTCATTAATGAGTGAAAAATTAGGTTTTGAGCACTTCGAAATGGTATTAAGAATGTAATATTTTGACTTTATTTGACATCTCTACGAGTGCATCAAAGTAAATTGTAAAAAAAAATAGTAAATAAATAAATAAATTGTGAGGTCATTTGACGCCACATGACCCCATATGGGTCTGCCCTTAACTGGAGAAGATGGTGATTGGCCGAGAAGGGGATACGATTCTTTCCCCTCCATTTTTCCTTCTTCCCTATTTAGCGTTACTTTACTCTTACTTTTCACTTTTACTTTTGCATTAAATTACTTTAATTTTTGTTTAAAAATAAATTAAATAAAATTCTATTTTTAGCATACTTTTAGAGAAAGTCATATTGTATCAACTTTATCTAAAAACTCTTTTAATTATAAGGAATAATTTAATAAAATTAATTAGTAGTATTCAAAAGTAATTTTTTAGATCTCAAAAAATCATTTTAACATTCAAAATATTTACTATTAATATTGCATGTGTCTATTGTTTACTTAAATGTTTTTATATACATTTTATGTTTTCATTTTCATTTTCATTTTGAACGTTATTAATTTGAGAAGGGAAAAAAACATTTTTTTATTCATAAAGGTCTTTGAAAAAATTGATTGACTGAAATATTAAGCCTATGTTTGGTCCTCATTTAAAAAAAAAAATTATTTTTAACAACATATTATCTCATAAAATAATTTTACACATATTCTAAAATATATTGTTTAAAAATGGGCTAAGAAGATGTCACAATGATCTAAACGGGTGATAAAAGAGAATTTATATAATCGACCTCAATATATTGAGAAAGAGACTTGATTTAAAGTGACTTTTTATTGATTTAATTTTAAAATTTTCAAACAAAAAATTCAATTTGAACAAAAAAAAGGTGATTACTAAAGTTCGAATATTTATTTTTTCATCAAGTTTTGCAAAGATTATAGGAAATGCAAAAGAATAATCTTAGTAAATATCTATAATATATAATATATTAAAATATCACATCAAGGGAGAATCACATTTTGGACGATTTTAACATTTCTATAATTCAATTATTTTAATAATATCTTACTTTTCATTTTTCGATATGTAATAAATACTACAAAATTATTGTCATTTATAAAATTTGTATTATTAATTCTTATTTAATTAATATTCAAATTAATCTAAATTCAATTAATTTTCACTTGATGAATCTTGATTTAAATGAATTTAGTATTATTATAGCCGATTTTTTTTTTCACATTAATGTATCTAAAAATTTTAATGGGTATTTAAATTTATGTATTAACAATTAATTTTTATATATCAAATGTAATATAAAAATGTTGCTCATTTATAGTATTCGTCATTACAAAAAATTTGAATCATAGAAATTGAATTATGAGAGTATAATTTGGGTACAGTTTCCTTCTCTAAAATTTCTATGCTAAATTTTTTTTTTTTAATTCGTCTGAAACTCATCAAATCCTCCAACAAATCGGTATCAATTATTATTTTTACATCACTTATAAAGTATTTTAGAATAACGTGCAATGCACGTTCAACTTTGATTGATAATTTACAAAGTACACCTTCAAGCTAATTTAAAAAATAGAAACTAATAAGTGTGTTTTTGCACACTTGTTTAGTATCTAAGGGCCTGTTTGGGAGTGATTTTGAGAATTGATTTTTTGACTGTTAGGAGAAAAGTGGGATCCACCTGTAAGAGAAAAAATCAAATATGACGGTTGAAATAGTGAAATAATGGTCAAAAAATCAATTTTTAGGAGGAAAAATTACTCCCAAACAGGCCTTAAATATGTTTATTATTAATGAAATGAATGAAATTCTACTCACAATTATATAATATTTGCTTCTGTAAGTCAAAAATTTCCTAAGGAAAAAGAACAAAGCAAGATAAAAAAAAAAAAAAAAAAAAAAAAAGGGACTAAAAGTGTGCAATTTTGTGAAGTCGGGTACCAAAATGCAAAAGAACCGAAAGTTCAAGGACTGGAGTTGCAATTTTGGAGGGTAAAATTGAAATGAAAGTCAAAAATGAGGACCAAATTGTACAAAATCAAAGTTGAAGGACTTGAGGTGAAATTTCCTAAAGGACTAAGCTGCAAAAAGAGGAAAAGGCAAGTGGCGTCGTAGTGCTACTGTAGCGGTGCCGAGCCTCTGATTCAGTGGCGCCACAGCACCACTTCAGGACATCGCGATACTACAGCTTCCTAATCGGACCATTTTTAATTTATTTTCAAAATCCAAGGACTTGGGTGCAATTTTGGTAGAGTTTTATTATAAAAAACCAGATTTTTGGCTCCCACTTGTCTCCATTCTGCTTCTTCTGCCGGTCTGCTTCTTCTTTTATTTTATTTTTTTCTTTATTTTTATTTTCTTTTTCTTTCTTCCTTTTTCATTTCTTTTTCTTCCTTTAATTTTTCTTGACATTTTGAAAGTGAAATCAAGAGTACAAAAGAGAGTACATATAAAGATTCGGAGAAATATTTGAGAAACTCATAGTCAAGCTTGAAGAAGGGTTTCAATTATAACTTTGTATTTTCTCATTTATTTTGCCATATTTGTAATGTATTGTATGAAGTATTCTCCTTTTGGTTACTTGTATAAAATGGGTTAGTTTATTGTGTTGAGATTTGTGATATTAGTTTAATCCAACTTTAATTAATTTCTATGTTTGCTATTTAATATTAAAATGTTTGTTTCTTTGTGTTTCTACTATTTTATTTATTGTATTTTCATTTATGTGGCCAATGAATGATTGTGTTTAGTGATTTGTACATCATTCGAGAGAATATTGTACATTTTAGACCAAATAGTAAGTACCCTAGATTTGTGTGGGGGATAGAGATATACCTCTAATCCTAGATGACTCAATGAGCTATTTTCACAAATATTTAATCAATTGTTTGGTTTTAGTTGACATTAAGATATAGTATGTTAAAGTAATCAATTAGAGTTAATTTCACTTGAGAGAGGTAATTAACTAAAATAGAAAAATCAGATCTAACATTGTAAATGAGTAGCTTGTTAATTGACTTGTGTAGAAATTAATTAGGCGGTGGTTAAATGAAACCATGAATCCCAACCACATTTGCTTCCGAAAATTCCCAAGATTTTCATATTTTTTTATTTTGTAGATTGTTAGTTATTTTCCAAAATCGTAATTTTATTGTATGTTTATTTTTATTGTTAGAATTAAATTGATTAATATTGTGTGATCAAAAGTAAGCATTTCTCGAGAGATCGACAATCCAGATTCAAAGATTCACTTTATTACTTGAACGCGATCCGTGCACTTGTGGCATGTATTTTTAGCGAACAGAAACCAACCAACAAGAACCGGAAAAGATAAGAATTTTTTTTCGGGAAAAGCGATACTTAATAGCATTTTTGGCCACCAATTTTGGATGGTTCATAACTGTTCAGAATCAATGTAGTGTAATTTTGATTGTTTCTCATAACCTACCAAACCTACAGGTTTGGACATTTCTTATATTCTTTTCTTATTTTACCATTTATAAAATAATTATTTTTAATCAACCAATTTTGTTCAAAACTAACTTATAAATAAAAATACATTAACTAAAATTTATAAGCAAAAAAATACTTTATATTAGTGTGTTTGTAAGTAAAAAATTATTATGATATAATAAAAATTTATTCATAAAGTAAAAATACTATTAATAAGACAAAATTGGCTTATAAATATTAAAAATTACTTATAAGTAAAAATTCACTTACGTATAAAAATTATGTAACAATTAAAAAAAATTACTTATAGATACCTACATATAAGAAAAAAACCACTTTTTTTTTGTAAACATTTCTTTATAAAATAAATTACTCACTACTAAAAAACAGCTAGAAACGAATTATTTGTTGGTGAAAGTAATTCACTTTCAATTACGATAATCAGCAACAAAATTTTCGTTGGTAAGGGTGATATCTCTTTACCAACGGATATTCCGTGCTTTATGTAACAATTTAACATTTGGATCTTTCACCTACGGAATATTCGTGGTTGACGTGCTGAATATTACTAACGAATTGCATTTGTTGGTAATTAGAAACAGATTATCCGTTGATAAACGCAATTTACTTCAACTATGATAATTATCAACGAAATTTCTATTGGTAACAACGATATCTCTTTATCAATGGATATTCCGTAGGTGACGTGCCGATAATTACCAACAAATTTTGGAATAGGTGACGTACAGATAATTATCAATGGATTTGATAGAATCTGTTGGTAATTAGAAACAGATTATCCATCAATAAAAAT